ACTCTTGTACTGTTTGTTGGTGCTATATGAATGCCTCTTGATTCTGTGTAGTGATTTTGTAATCCTGAGACCTGTACCAAATTCATTTTCAGTTCAAGGAGTCCTTGGTTGTTGAATCCTTGGGGTTTTCTAGGTATAATATCATTAATCAGGGAAAAGAGTGAGAGTTTGAATTTCTTTCTGGCTCATTTGGACGCCCTTAATATGCCACTCTCTTGTCTGATCGCCTGTAGCGAGGACCTTGCCCAGCACTAGGTTGAACAGAAGTGGAGCATAGTGGGCAATCTTGTCTTGTTGCAGTTCTAAGTGGAATGCTTTCAATCTTTCCCCATCAGGTATGATATTGGCTCGTGATTTTTGCATATATGTTGTATCATTTTTAGGTAAGGCCCCGTCTAGGCCTATTTGTTGACATTCTTATATAAAGCGTGTTGAATTTTTAAATCGCTTTCTCTGCATCATTGGGAGGATTATTATTCGGTCTTTGTTTTTGCTTCTGTTTATATGGTGAGATTACATTTAAGAATTGCATATGTTTGAACCACTGCCCTGCAGTCCCTTGATGAAGCCACTTGTTGTGATGAATTATTTTCTTCTTGCGACAAGGCCCTGGGTCGATGCGCTAGGATTTTGTTGAGATTTTTGCCATCTAATTATCATAAGGATATTGGTCTCCTGTTCTTTTTTGTTGCATGCCTTTCCTGGTTTTCGGTATCAGGGTTATGTTCGCGTTTATAGAAATGTGTTGGGGCAGGATTCCATCCTTCTTGAATGTTGTGGAAAATCTGCCCAGGATAGGCACCGAGTTCTCTTTGTAGTGTGTAATTCAGAAACCATGCTGTTGCAGGCTTTTTCTTTAGAATGTTTTTTTTTGCTGGTTCAATTTCAGTACTTGATATGTCGTTCAGGAATTCCAGTTCGTTCCCTGTTTGGCCTAAGAAGGCGTGTGTGTTCTAAGAATTACTCCATTTCCTCCAATTTTCCAGTTTGTCGTGCATAGAGGTTTTTTGTAGTATTCATCCAATTAACTTGTATCTTTGTGGCCATCAGTTGTAATTTCTCCTTGTATTGGTTACTTATGGAGGCTTATATTAGAGATTTCTTTCCTGCTTTTCGTTAGTTAGCAATGGTGTGTCATGTATTGTTTTCAGGAACACTTTTTTGTTTTATTACTTTTGGTACATCTGTTTGATTTCTTAAGTTCTGATTGGATCTTAATGATTCAGTTTCGCGGCTTGGGTTTGATCTTCTTGTTCTTTATCCCAGCCTCCTTTGAGATGAATTCATTAGGTTGTGTATTTGTGATTTTCGGACTTTTGGAATAGCAATTATGGAAATTAAACTTTCCTTGCAGGACTGCTTAGCTGTGTCCACAGCTTTTGGGTAAATTGTTCATTTATTTCTCCTTCATATATGAAGCTTAGTTTTTCAGGGAATAAGATTCTAGGCTGGGCATTGTTTTGTTTCAAAAGAGTGAGAATGGAGCCCCAGTCTCTCCTTGCTTGTAAAGTCTCAGTAGAGAAGTCTGGTGTTATTCAAATTGGCTTTCCCTTGTATGTTCCTTGCTTCTTTTGTCTTACAGCTCTTAGAAGGGCCTCTTTAGTTGATATTTTGGTCAGTCTGATGACTGCATGTTGTGACTTCTTCCTGTTGGCATTGAACCTCCCAGGGTTCCTCTGAGCCTCTTGAACTTATATATCGAGATTTTTAGCAAGGCCTGGGAAATTTTCCTCTATTATATCTTCAAATAGCCTGTCCAACCTTTGAGTGTTGTCTTCTTCCCCTTCTGGTAACCCTATGACCCTCACATTAGGCTTCTTCACATAATCCCACATCTCTTGTAGGCTTTGCTGTTTTCCCTTCTCTGCTGTATTTCTGTGACTGATTTATTTAATTGGAAGGTGTTATCTTCAATCTCTGAGATTCTTTCTTCTGTTTTATCTACCCTGTTCTTGAGGCTTTCCACTGAATTTTGTAGTTCTGTGAATTGATTCTTCATTTCCAGGAGTTCGGTTAAACTTTTCTTCATTTTGTCAATTTCATTAGTGAACTTTTTTTCCAGGTCCTGGAGGCTTTTTGTGGTTTCTTTGTGTTGGTTATTGAGTTGTGCTTCCAGGTCGTTGAATATTCTTATGATCCACATTTGGAATTCCTCATCTGTCATTTTGGTTGCCTGATTTTGATTGGTGTCCGTTTCTAAGGGGCTGGTGCTCCTCTTTGGGGGTGTGTTTTCCATTTGATTCCTCATATTTACGGAGTTCCTTCGCTGATTTCTTCCCATGTCGATCAGTTGTTGCTTCTTTCCTTTAGGTTTTCTTTTGGGTATTCACACGCCTTACTTAGTTTCTGAGCCAGTAGGTGGTGTCTGTGAGTCAGATTCAACCCCTCCCTGTATAATGAGTTAGTAGGTACCATGAAAAGGGTGTGCAGGATGTCCTCCTTGTCAGTAGGTGGCGCTTGCTTGGAGGAACAGGCTATGCTGTTGTTTTTGTGACCTGTGACCAGCTCTTGTTCCTGTAGAGAGGCACTCTAGTGCCTCCAGTGGTGGGTAGGGCTCTGGGACTTCCAGGTGTGTCCTTTTCTCCCTCTCAGTGAGGGCTGGTCTGGGAGTGAGTCTGGGCAGATCTGGGGTGGGTAAGCCAGCCGTCAGGTACCACCAATACCGTTAGCAGGGGTCAACGTTTTTTTTTTTTTTTGCTTCCAGGAAAAGCTGCCAAAGAGGGGCTGGAATGGCCATGCTCAGTCTGAAAGTCTACATGTGGGGTGGCGCTGTCTGAGACCCACAGTCTGGAGCAGGCCTCGCTTCTTTCCACCCTCCTGAACTCTGCGACTACTCCTGGGCCTCTACCAACAGGCCAGACCTCATGCCACCGGGCCTCCCCTGGCTGTGATGCCGGCTAGGAGGTTCTCTGCGCACGCATGCCACCTGGGCTGGGCACACGGCCTCCCTTTGGGAGGAGGGTTGCCCTCTAGGATGCTGGTCTGCCCCTGAAGGAACACACACCTCAGTAGGCTGTTCGCATATATCCCTTGTGTGTCCTGGGCAATGCAAGACCTGGGTGCATGGGATCTGGTCTGTAGGTCCACCTCTGAATCCCAGAGTTCAAACTATATCCCCACCAGGGAGAGGAGTGCCAATCTCAATTCACTCATGGGGAGCCCAAGCTGGGTCTATGTCTCTCTGCCTCAGGGTCTGCCCCGTTCTCCTGGGATCACCAGGCCAGCAGCACCTGGGAAGGCTAGCAGGTCGGGAGATCACCATCTGAGTTCCCCTCAGTCAGCTGCAGGGCCCCAAAAGGGAAGGTCCCGTTCCTTGGAGGTGCCTCCAGCTGGTGGCTATATTGTCTCTCTCGGCAGCAGCGGATAGGGTCAGGGGAAGGGAGAATGAGGCAATATGGCGCCTACCGTATGGCTCGGGTCTGTGCACAGGGAAGTGCCCTGCGGGAGTTGGGAGCCTGGTGCCACCTCCACTACAGGCTTACCACTCACTGGCGGTGGTCATCTCTGGGCTGGTGTCCGCAGGTCTCTCCACCCGCTAGGGAGCCCACCAGCAGTCCGAGATGCAAGGGAGGGGAGAGTTGATCGCTCCACCTACCCTTCCCGCTGGTCTCCAGGCTGCTCCAGAGGTCTCTGCTTCTATTTCTCCCCCACAACCTCCTCCGGTGGAGTCTCCCGTGGTCTCAGGTATCTCTCCTTCCGACCCTCATCAGATGTATGTTCGTCTTCTTGCTTCTTTCTTCTAATTTCTGCTAGAATCTGTCTTTTCTGCAGAGACACTCTGTTTGGCGGTGTTTTTTGTCCACCATCTTGATTATCTCAGATCCACAAATGTTTATAACAGCTTTATTTGTACTAACCAAAGCCTGGGAAGAACTCACAGGGCCATTAACAGTTGAATGTATAAATGAATTATAATAGATCCCTACAACATAATACTATGCAGCAATACAATGAATTAATACTCACAACAATATGGATGATTTTAAAATAATAATTCTGGGTAAAAGAAGCCAGACACAAAAAGGAATATATTGTATGATTTCATTTCTATAATGTCCTAGAAAATACACACGAATCTAAAATGATATCAGCGGTTACTTGGGTATGGGGAGGAGGGAGTGATGGATTATATATAGGCATGAAGAAACTTTGGAAAGGGTGATAGAAATATTTGTTATCATTATTGTGGTGATGTTGACATGGTTTTATACTGTCAGGATAAGTTTCCCACAAAGATGAGAATTTTAGAGCATTCTAATTTAGGAACATCAAAGAAAAACATTCCTGAATAAAATATTAGCAAATAGAATCCAACAGTACATTCAAAGAGTAATGTATCTGTAAATCGATTATAATGTAATAATAAATTTAAAGAATAATACATTATAACCAAGTAGGACTATAGTATAATTAAAGTGAAATTTGTAAGTATATTAATTTCATCATATTAACTGAACTAGACACGGGAAAAAATCATTGAAAGAAAACCCAATACATAGGATTTTGAACACGTGAAAGGCTCAACCACTCTCACACTAAAAGCACAAATTAAAACTACATTTGAGATATCATTTCCTACCTCTCAGATTGGCTTAATAACCAAAAGCTTAATAACCCATTAAAAGCTTAATAATCCATTCTATTAGTGAAGTTGTGGAAAAACTGACTCTCATCCATTGCTAGGAGAAGTGAAAATGATACAATCCTATGGAGGTGAATATGGCAATATTTACTAAATAAAAATGCAATTAATTATGACTCAGCAAACACATTTCTAGGAATCTATTCTAAGAATACACGTAACATGTATGAAAAGTATATTACGGGCGTGGCGCGAGGCCCCACCTGGCCAGCGGGCAGTGGCGCTTCTGGGGCAGCAGTCGGCTGGCTGCCAGGCATGGAGCCAGCAGGCGAGGCGCGGGACGGCCTCGCCCCTCTCAGCCACCAAGTCGCTCTCACCGTGACTGGGCGCGGCGCAAGGCGGGCGCTGCCGCGCCAGCAGCCCAGTGGCAGCGGCCACAATGGACCCGGAGCCAGTGGGCCGTGTGGAAGAAGTCTCAGCCTGGGGAGCTGGGGCCGCTGCGCCATTCAGGGAACCGCCCCGGCAGATGAGTAACGAGACAGGCTTTGACAATGTAGAACTCGGAATCATAGGAAAAAAGAAGAAAGTCCCAAGGAGACTCATCCACTTTGTTAGTGGTGAAACAATGGAAGAATACAGCACAGATGAAGATGAAGTCGATGGCCTGGAGAAGAAGATGTTTTGCCAACTGTTGATCCTACAAAACTTACCTGGGGTCCCTATTTATGGTTTTACATGCCTCGGGCTGCCACATCAACCCTCTCAGTGTGTGACTTTCTTGGAGAGAAGATTGCATCTGTTTTGGGCATCAGCACCCCAAAATACCAATATGCCATTGATGAATATTACCGGATGAAGAAGGAGGAAGAAGAGGAAGAGGAAGAAAACAGGATGTCTGAAGAAGCAGAAAGAGGATATCAGCAGAATAAACTACAGACTGATTCCATTGTTCAGACAGATCAACCAGAAACAATGGTATCCAGTTCATTTGTGAATCTCAATTTTGAAATGGAGGGAGACACTGAAGTAATTATGGAAAGCAAACCAAATCCAGTCTCTGTCCCACCGTAGAATGAAATGACTATCAAACTTCAAACACTAAGGTTTCTTTTTTTTTTACTACCAACTTAACATAGTTATTTATGTTCTAAATTATTATCTGTAAAGGGAAAATGTTTCTTCATTCTTAGTCTCCATCTGGCAAAAGCCAGCTGTGAAATTTGGGTATTTGTACTGTTTTTACTGTGTCAAATTAGTGCTTTGGATTTAAAATGATTTTTTAAAAGGACATTCTAGAACCATAATCACCAATTAAGAGTTAAATTATGGATTTTTAGAGAAAATGGCGGAGTAGGGGTGCCCTCCTGGCTCTCTGCTCCCAGAGCAAATAGTGAAGAAAGCGGATAGACACACTCCAGCGATCTGCACTTCCACGAGACCAGCTTTGCAAGCCTGCAGATATCCAACAGGAAATGGAGGGATAAGACCATTTACAGCCTGAAGCAAAGGTGAACTGATCATTCTTCCGCAAAACTCGGGGATTCGGAGGAGGCACACATCAGGGAGGGAGCGAGGCGCGGCTTAAGCCGCTGCCGGCGGGCAGTGGCGCCAGCCTCTAACCGGCGCTGAGAAACACCCCTTCCTACACCGAGCTCCACTCCCACGTAGGCCGAGAGGTGCCTGAAGTTGGTGAGAAGTGGCAGCGCAGGACTAAGCTGTGTGGAGAGGAGAATTGAGCAGGGAACGCGCTGAGTTCGCCAGAGCACACAGCGGCCGCAGTTTAAGGTGGGGGAGGGTCCACGCACAGCAACCGCTCTCCGCGCAGCAGGAACCAGAGCCCGCTCCGGCATCTCCCTGCAGAACACTCCCAGGTCAAGGGTAAGGGGAGTTTACACAGCAGGAGGCTTTGACTTTGGATTTGGAGGAGGTTTGGGATAGCACTGAGAGGTCAGAGTGCGCAAAGTTAGACTCCTTGATCCATTAGGACCCCCCTCCCTCTGCTCCTCCGGCACCGCTCCGCCCCTGCATTCCGGCGCTGACTCGGCATTCCAGCGCTGACTTGGGCTCGGGATTTGGAGAGGAGGCGCAGAGAAAGTGCTGGTACCCACCGCTGCTCCACCAATTTAATATTGGACCGTCACTTGCTGCACAAGCGGCACTGACTCTGTGCTCAGAGAGTGAACCCTGCCTGGACGGGGCAGAGCTACAGGGGAGATTGCCCTTGGCGGATTTAAGGCAGAGAAAGGTTGCCTTCCACACTCTCCTGCGACCCGACCCGGAGCCCCGCTCTGGGCTCCAAAGTCTCTGTCCCAGCCTTGGGGGCGGAGCTGAGATAGAATCTGTGCTCATTCCTGCCGCTTATCTCCACCTGGGTAATTCAAGAGACAAAAGGCAGGGGTAGGTGGGTCCCATTGACTGCCTGCCTGCTTTTGGTCAGTCTCACCCTGCACAGGTCTCCCGCAGGCCGTGCCCAGAGTGTGGAGCCCGCCTGGGCAGAGCTGGGCCTTGCAGGAGGCAGCCGTCAGTGGTTATAAGGCAGAGATATTTTATGACCCCCACATCCGGGGATTTGGGGCTAGGCCTCTGGCTCCAAAGTTTGTATCCCCGCCTTGAGGGTGGAGCCGAGATAGAAACTGCTCCCGTTCCTGCCGCTCATCTCCACCTGTGGAATTAAAGAGACAGAACAAGGGGCCTGGTGGGTCTGGCTTCAGGACAATCTCTCACTGCACAGGTCTCCCACTCTCTGTGTCCAGAGTGCAGAGCCCGCCTGGCAGGAGATACCCACGAAGGAAGCTGCCCTTAGCTGCTATAAGGCAGAGAGTCTTTACGTCTACCACCATCCTTTTTCTTGTGGCTGAGCCTTGGCTCCAAAGTCTCTGCCCGCCCCACCTCCCCCACCCCCGCATTGGGGGCGGAGCTGAGATAGGAACTGTTCTCATTCCTGCTGCTTATCTCCACCTGGGTAATTAAAGAGACAAAAGGCAGGGATAGGTGGGTTCCATTGACTGCCTGCCTGCTTCTGGTCAGTCTTTGCGCTCTGTGTCCAGAGTGCGGAGCCTGCCTGGGCAAAGCTTAGCCTCGTGGGAGATTCCCTTTAGTGGCTATAAGGCAGAGAGACTTGACGTCCACCACGCTCCAGTGTCTTGTGGCTGAGCCTTTGGCTCCAAAGTTTCTGTCCCCGCCTTGGGGGCAGAGCTGAGATAGGAACTGTTCCCATTCCTACCGCTTATCTCCACCTGCATTAAAGAGACAGAAGACAGGGTTTCCTGGTTGGCGGCCTGCCGCTTCAGGCCAATCTCTATCTGCACAGGTCTTCTGCGCTTGTGCCAGGCCCTGGAAGCCTGGCAGTTCCGTCTTGTAGAGCAGCCTTGGGATAGCTAAAGCGAGAGACGTTACACCCACACTCTGCGTCTGGAGCTGCTCGTTCCAAAGTTCTAGCCCGCCTTGGGGTGGGCTGGAGATAGGAACTGCTCCAGTTGCCTGCCATCTTACTTACCGTGTGTAATTAAGGAGACCAGCAGGAAGGGTAGGTAATTGGCTGGTTTCTCCTCCGCTCCATCTTGGACTGCTGGCTCCCCAGGGGGTGAGAAGACCTGCAGACAACCACTCCAGCGAATGGCCAGACAGAGAGTTAATTCTCACTACTGGCTCAAGAACTAAACAAGACGTTGAATACCCACACGAAAACGTAAAGGAAGAAACAACAACCAAAAGCAAAATGGGAGAATCAGCGAAAACTCACATATGAAAAACAAACAAAAACACACCCCCAAGGGAGCACCAGCCCTTAGACAGGCAACAACCAAACCTGGCAACTAAAAGACAGAAGAGGAATTTTCGAATGTGGATCCATAAGAACACTCACTGACCTGCAACAAAACTCATAACCAAATAAAAAACACAAAAGCCCAGGAAATGAACAAAGGTTTCACAAAAGATTGACACAGTGAAAAAACTTTAACCGAAGTTAGAGAGAAGGAATAACTCAGGGAACTACAAAATACTGTGGAAAGTCTCAAGAACAGGTAGATCAAGGCAAGAAGAAAGATCTCAGAGATTGAAATAACACCTTCCAATTAAATAAATCAGTATCAAATACAGCAGAGAAACAAGAAAAGACCAAAGCCTACAATGAGCGTGTGGGATTATGTGAAAAAAACCTAACGTGAGGGTCTAACCCACAAAGGTTAGCAGAAGGGGAGGAAGAACATCAGGGGCTGGACAAGCTTTTGCGAAGATATAATACGAGGAAATTTCCAGGTCTTGCTAAAATCTGATATACCAAGTTAGAGCCTCAAGACCCTGGAAATTCAATGCAAACAGGAAGAGTCACACTCATGCAAGTCCATCAGCTGATCACACACAGTATCAACTTAAGAGGCCCTTCTAAGAGCTGTAAGACAAAAGAGCAAGTAACAATACAGAGAAACCGATTCGATAACATCAGACTTTTCTAATGAGACTTTCACAAGCAGGAGAACTGGAGCCGCCATTCTCACTCCTTTCTGAAACAAAACGAATGCCCGCCTAGAATCGCTATTCCCTGCCAAAACTAAGCTTCATATATGAAAGAGAAATAAAGACCATTCAAGAAAAGCAGCCTCAGGAAAAATACAACCCAAGACGAAACCAGCACCCTACAAGAGTAATCAACATACAGTGTTACACCACACGACACCACACATAAGAAAACTCACAAGTAAAAAAAATAACAGACGCATAAAACCAGACGCAACCCCCGCCCACACAAAAACAAAGAGAGACCACAAAAACACCCCAGGCCCGGACGACACCAAATCAAAAACAGACAACCAAAAACCAGAAAAGTCCCAACAGATTAAGGCCAGATAGCTATGGATCGAAAAGAGAGAATCAACACAACATCAAGCCCAACAGAATGAACAGGAATCCTACCTTAGCCTAGTCAGCTTCTCGTCAATAAATGTGAATGGGCTTACTCTCCCTGCAAGAGACATAGGCTGGCTGAATGGATAAGAAATAAGGCAAGCTCAACTGCTAGTCATTCCAAGGAACACAATACTAACACTGCAAGAATGCATATAGACATAAAGTAAAAGGGTGGAGATCAGTATTCCAGGCAAGTGAGCCAAAAGAAGGCTGGCGATGCGTTCTAATTTCAGACGATTTAGTTTAAACAACAAAGTTGTGAAGACAAAGAGGGTCATTACATAATGGTGAAGGCACAGTTCAAAGAAGGATACAATTTTAAATATAATCAGTGCACCAAGCTAGGATGCCCAAGTTCATTAAGCAAAACTTACTGGATCAACAAAGTGGAATTAACTAGCCAACTACATACACACCGGAGATTGTCAAACAACCCACTCGCGGCTCAAGACAGACTTCATCCAAACGAGAAAATTAAATAAAGACAATAATGGACTAAACAAAACTGCTAAACAATTGGGCTGACTGACTCTACAGGAAGCATTCTACCCTAAATCCACTGAATATACGTCTTCTCATCAGCTCACAGCGGGACCATTCTCTAAGAGATTGAACCATATCCTAGACACAAAGTAAACCTCAGAAATTTCAAAAATAGAATCAACCATGTATCACTTCTCCCAGATCACAATGGACGATGACCAGGGCGTAGAAATCAACCCTAACCGAATCAACATTTCTACACAAAAACATGGAATCATAAACAACCTTCCTAAACTAAATGATTACTTCAATAAATGAAGAAAGTCAGACAGGAAATAAAAAAATTCTGGAGAATGACAATGAGAGACAAGATATCAACTCCTCCTAGGAACAGCTAAAGCAGTTCTGAGAGGAAAGTTCTATCTCCCATAAACTGCCTATACAAACAGTAAAAGATCACCAAATGACAATCTAATGAAATGACTCAAAGAGCGAAGAGAAACGACAGCCCAAACCCAGCAGACAGGAGTGAAATCAACAAGTATAATAAAACAGAACTAAATGAATCAACAGGGAAGCTATTCAGGAACATTAACATAACAGAAAGGTTGCGTTCTTCGTGAAAAAATAACAAATTGACACGCGACTGGCTAAAGCTAGAAAAGCAGAAAAGAAATCTTATAACGTACCCCATCCCAGGAATAA